GGGGGGGGGGGGGGGGGGGGGGGGGGGGGGGGGGGGGGGGGGGGGGAGACTTGGATTAAGATGAGACAAGCATTGGCGGTAAGAATATCTCCACGTGATGCACGCGATGGGACATGTGAAAACATCCGGACATCGGGTCATTACACGCGTTTGTTTGTGTGTCGAATGCCTCCTATGGCGGTGATATTCTCTGTTCTTAGGGCTGTCTACAGCTTGGACACTGACCTATCACAGACGGCGAAATACGCCCCTCGTTTCTGCACAATTAGTTACTCAACCGCATCCCATCACAAGCAACCACCGTAGGCCGACAACTCTGCCGCTGCTCGTAGCCCAGCCTACCCGCCCGCCCTAGACCTCCACCCTCACATGCTGTTCTCCACGACCGTTAGAATCACGTACGGGTTGCACTTTTGGCTGATTGGGTCTGCCACCGGAAGGCCGCTGGCGCTCCGAACCGACACGGTCATCGCTCGTTTTTGGGATTCTACCCACATCCTATATCGGGTCTGGTGTGGCACGCGCAAAGTTCCGGGTGGGAGGTGGCACCAAGTAGTTTCTTTCGGTCCATACACAACACGCGTCGCCCCTTGTTAGTACTGCCCTGCGTAAAGCGATACCGTTCACTTTGGACCCTCTTGCACTTCCTCCAACGCGTACGGTTGAGGTTCGAGCGAGGACGTCTCTTCGTCCCCATTAGTGGCCGGAAGAACTACCGTAAGCCTTCGCAACCTTACAGTCATGGCATGAAATACATAGAGGTGTGGATATAAGGGAAATCGGTTGGCGACGTAGATTGAGGGTTGTGGCACACTGGGGGAGGGGGGGTGGTGATAAGGGTAAACTCACGGCAGTGGGAAAATAGCTGTTATCTATCGGGATGTTGTTCTTCAGCCAGACTATATTAAACAGGGTTTTCGCCTGATTGAGAGCGGAGTATACGATTGAGAGCGGGAGCCAAAAGAAATGAAATTCCGGGTCCAGACGCCTCTTGCCATTCCTTGGGAAGTAGGGGGCGGGCTCTTCCAAGAAGCGGCGCAAATTGAAGGTCTCATCAGCAGCGTCACGAGCATATGCGTGTCATCGCGATCGGATGCTGCAGCTAGGAGCTAGACAAGTTGCTAGATTTCCCCAGATTGGCTATTCCTGCCTCAAACTGTTTCAGGGCGATTTGATCGCGGGCGGTGAGCTCTGCTGTAGATTCTGCTCCCCGCTGTAGCTCCACAACGAGAGACGCCCACAGGATGACCAGGGTATCGGCTTGTAGCTACGGGCTAGGCCTTCAATTCAAGTCACGCAGCAAGCTCCACCTCTCAGCGGTAGTCCAGCTACAGCGCATCGCGCAATCTCGCTCTCAATCAGAAACTTCGCTCTCAACCACACGAAAACCTTGTTATTATCGAATCGTTCTTTGTGGGATGCCCGCATCCGCGTTTGTTGTTTGTTTGTCCGACCCTGCATGACTCCATCGATATTTCGACTAAGGGATTTATTACTCAGGCAGTTTGCAGCCTAGTCTCGGATGTTCTGCAATCATGCGAGTGTTACCTTCCTCCTCTCACCCCCTACCCGCTCATGAGTCCTGCTCATGAGCTTCAAAGCCTACTCGAGCACACACGCAGCTGGCATAAACTGAGCGTATAGTTAAGAGCAAACAGGACTCACATACGCAACGCGCATCCGTATGAAGGACTGGATCAGAATCGCCCGTTTTTCCGCCTTAATTGCGCTAACAATGCGGTAGAAGGGACAGAGCAGGGACGAGGGGAGGGGGGCGCGGGGAAGAGACAACATCGCGTGTATATCATATATTGGACGACCTACGACATATGTCAAAATACAGTGTCGGGTACATGTACTCTCCCGTGCTTAGGCGGGCCATCTATATCGCCGTTGTACCGGAATCGTGTCGCACCATAAAACACTGTTCTCACTTAAACATTCAGCCACACACATTCATCATGTTAAATGCGGCTTTGCACTTTCTAGATCGGACCCCTTCTTCCCGCGAACATTGGCAATGCACCCCCCGAAAGTCTCCATGGAGATCGGATCTTGTCACACGTAAATAGCACGGAAGCGTATGGGTGTCCATGTTGACATCCCTTTCTTCTGGACGTCATGGTTTTGCACTTTCGTGTGTGCTTAGGCAGCACCAACCGGGGTCGTGCACGAAGAACAATCAGGAAGAAGGCCACAAAGGAGTTGTGGTTGTTCTATACATTATTCCTTCCATGGTGCATCAACCGGCCAAAATCCTGACACAGATTGGTTGTCTGGACGCCGCGCACGTCGGCCTGAGGGGTGGGCTGGCTCAGTGCGATGGCGCCACCCCCACACCAGGCCGGTGCGCATGTTTTTTCTTGTTTTTCATGGGCACGTGAGTACACTGTTGCCTTCCCGACCGCCTCACGGGCCCTCCTGCTCCATTCCGCCTTGCAGCTAGGTCAATGTGGAGAGGATGGGTCACTACAGTCCTGCGCGGAGGACCATCTCCGCTGGACTGACTCACTGGTTGCAGTCCGCTACCCACGAGATGAAGCGAATTATCTTTCCGGCGGCGCGTTTCTCCTTGTTCGCCCCCATCTGCTGGTTCTGCACACAATAGCCGGTAAGACAACAAATTCCGTAAGGACGTGCCTGGACAGATCAGCATGACATTCCCGCCGGTACGCATCGCTCCCTTGTCCAAACCCCTTTAACCCCACGAACGAGTCAAAAGGAAGACTCTATTGAACTGAACGAGGCGGCCAACCAGAAAAATGAAATGCGCATAGAGGGATGCCTGTGGCGGTTGGGGATGTGGTTTTCGAGGGTATCCGGAGGCTTGGACAAGGAGAGAAGCAGACCAGGGGTGCAGCAGACATTAAACCCCCCCCCACGAACTATCTAATGGTGGTTTTCAAACCTTGAGGCGACGGTAGTATCGGAGTTCGAGCACCATATCCTCCTGACACTCCCAGCACACCCAGTCCAGAACCATTTTTCGGCTCTTCTGGCAGGCCGTTAGCTGTTGCGGGATCAATAGTGCGGAGATAGAGAAAGACCGCGATAGAGAGAGACAAGATAGGGACCGTGCCTTTGAAAGGAAAGCACCTCAGGTGAAAGGCTTCAAGCGAACCGAGTCCCTCAACACGTACACCGTCGTGCACAAAGTAGAACACTGGTTAACCCTCCTAGTACCCAGTCTCTCCGCAAAAAAAAAATGTCGAAAAAATGTTTGTCAGCCATTGGTGGACGGGTTACAGTCCCTCCCAAGAATCTGAGCTCCTTGCCAGACAAAGGGTGACTTGGCTTCAGTATGAAAAGTGTCCCCACGTGACGTGGGGACACTTTTCATACTGAAGCCAAGTCAGCAAATTTTCTAGGCGAAGTACAGTTTTGCGAACTGGGGGGCACGCGGGTTGGGAGATGTGTACAGCAAGTCAGAGGCCCAGGAGAGGTATCGCATACACAGCGTACCACCTTAGCCAAGCATGATAGACCAAGGGTTCTCACGTACGTTGCATACAGCGGAGCCCAGGTTGACTACAATGCGGAAAACAGGCCTTTGAGTGCTGTGTCCCAAAGTGTCCCCAAGTCGTCCCCAAATAAGCTTCCACTACTAGGAGGGTTAAACAGGCGCGACTTCTTTCTCCCTCTAGCTTGATGCGCGCTGAAATGTTGAATTTGGCATATATTTGTTCCATTTATCTTGATTGCTCTTGCCACCACGCTTATGATGTATCACCATCGTGTCGCTCGGTTCCTCGTTGTTGTCGACCAAGGTTAACCAAATAGCAGCAGCAGCCAACGTGTTCGGTTTTATTGGTGACCAAAATGTCTGTAAGAGTCCATGTGGGCAATCCAAAGCCAAGGGCTGCGCATGGGTGGCATGTAGAACCAAGCTGGGGAGGAGCAAAGTTCGGCTCTTACATGTAGTGTGGGAGAAAGGCGCAGCATGGGGCATCGTACTTCAGAAAAAAAAATAGCTTCTTACTTACACCACCAATAGGTGAAGTATAGAAGGGTGCACAAACGGAAACAACAACGGTCCGCGCGAGAATACAGCACCGGCACGGCGAGACGTTGCCTTCTTATCTGTGAGGTCGTCTTGCCTGTTGTTGCAGTTGTTTCTGCTGTTGAGGAGCAACACTACTTGCTCGCTGTCCTAGTCTTTTGGGTCGTCCTGGTGGGGTGCTTAGCGGTCCCGAGGGTGTCGCATCTCTGCACCAGTTGTGGACCACTATGTTGCAGTAGATGCACTTTGTGATGTTTGTCGTCGCGGGCAGACCGCATCTGCACAACGGTACACGAGCAGACGCAGAAGTGGAGTGACATGTGACGGAACCTCTTGCTTTTATCTACCATATACTCGAAAGAAAAGGACAGCGGGATATGGCTCGATTGGTTCAGCGGGAACACTGGACTCGCGTACAGATACGCAAGCCATCAGAAACGATGATCGACCATATCATTTATCATTCTCGCCTCTCGCTTTAGATGGCAAGAAAATACGACAGGCTGCAAAAATGCCAGCAAATGCAGACCATGCACCTCCTCACCCTTCACAGAGTAAGCTGCGGAGCCAATCCCTGATGAACAAGCACGGGGTGGGTGGAGGGTGCAGTGTCTCCAAAGTTCGACCCACGTAAGGCCTAGGCACTCTTCCCGCCGTGGTTCTCTGCGCATCCTCCGAGGCTTGTTCCTGCTGAGTCTGCCTTAGAGTAGACTGTGCACCCAACAACCCAACCATCCAACGTGGTTGGCGCAGTGCTTTCCTGGTTGTTGCGACTTACGAAAACGGTCGTCTTATCGGGGCGAAGTCATCCACGGTATCAAATTTGGTGTTTCTGTCCGCCACAGGTATACAATCGAAAAGGTCCGGGACGTCAACTTAGCTGGTACTCCGAGGAAGTGGCGCACGTGCCTCCGTTTTCACACATTTTACTGTTTGCATGTTTCTTCGTAGTCCGACTGGCATTTGCAAACAGACAGCAATATATATTTCCTCCAATATCTGAAATCTTCGCCGATTCGAGCGGATTTCAAGAGTCTCTGCCAGAACATCTCCTTCGCTTATGGCGGCTTCGAGAGGCGTTACAGCAGTGGAGCGACCAGCATTTCTACCTCTTCCCCACTCCCCCTATCATGCGCCTGCGATGTAAGGTGCATGTCTCCTATTCTGTATCACCACAGCACCAAGAAAACGAGGGGCGGGTACAGTCTTACTTCCATCGGTGGTTGAATTGCGATGGATGCGCTGCGCTTTCTCGGTTCTCCATCCTTAACCTACACAAATACAACGTACAACCACTACAATTGTCTACGGCCCAGGCACGTTTGAGTGAACCCACCGCTAATTTCTCCGGATGCGTCTCCTGCTTCTCAAGGTACATGTGCTTCCAATACCCTTTGGGTCGGAGCTGCTTCGTCGCCATTACGGTATTGAGCGGGAAACCCGAGCGTCGGACGGTGGACCGTGTCTACGTCCCACGCGGAGAAGGTGTCAGTCACACGATGATGCACCCAAGAATATATGTAGTAGGAAGCCGTGAGAAGACGAACAGATATAGGTTCAACAAGACCGGCGGGTAAATGCTCGTCAGGCAGACGTTGCACTTTACGTAGCCTCACCACAACCATTGTAGGTTATGGAGGCCCGGGTACGTACGTGAAAGATGCTGCGGCGCGTGATTGTGCGACACAGTCCCGGAATTAGATAGCAACGCCAATGTTCAAATGGGGCTGCCTTGGGCATGAATAATCAAGAGGCTCGTTCCAAAGGACCCGTCATTATTTGGTCTTCCCTCGATAACGTTGGGAACTACTGTGCTAGACTTGTCATATCATGTTCACACAGTACGCACATATGTCAAACGCTTTGCAAATGCACATCTACTACGTGGTACTGGTACAGCAGTAGCACTGGCGTCAGATGCGGCATTCCACGAAAACAACAACAACAACAACAACAACAACAACAGCAGCAACAACAACAACAACAACAACAACAACAACAACAACAACGAGGAGAATGGAAGGAAACTGAGGCCATCAGCCATGTCAACGCAAACGGTGCCCGCTTTATACTCGTGCGTATAGCACTCTTGGGCAAACACCAATAGTCTAGACTACGTTACCTCTCGCGCTTCATGGTTTGCGCTTGATCGATGATCTCGCCGTTCGATCATACGGAGGGAGGGTTGAAGCTTTAGTAGATGGTGAAGGCCGGCGGTGTCTCCCACCGCCCAACTCTGAACCGGCTCGTGTCTCCAGCTCCGTGTCTCTGTGCCGTGGTACATGCTCTAGTCTCACACGCAATAATTCGCCGCCAATACGATCCCGAAACGAAACTTGAAAAAATCAGAACCGTTTTGATTGGTTTGCGCCGATCGGTTTCGGACGTTCGGACTCCAGGACTCCAAGAATCCAAGACTCCAAGAATCCTTCAGTCAGAATCCAGGAAGAGCGGGGCAAATTTGTGATGAAATGTACCGGGACGGAGGGTTTGGAGTTTAATTTAGGGGGCGAAGCCCGCGAATACATGTGTGAAACCCATCTATCTGCGGCCGCACGCCGCTGTAAAACAACATTGTTGCACCTCAGTGAATCAGAAAAATGAAAAAACAAAGGAGGCACCAGAGCAGAGGTGTCGTCACCGCGGCAGCACGGAATCACCTTGCAGACATGCGGCCATGTGCGTTGTCAACATATATTGCCAACGCATCGCGAATGATGATTGATGGTGATTGCTTTGGGGCGTTCATTCCGAAGAGAGAAGTGCCAGAGTATCATCACCACATTTGCTTGACGCGGTCTGGCGGGAGGACAGGCGTGGAGACGATATAATAGCATGCACAGATCCCTGGAAGTGGGTACTACTGCGGAATACTGTGCTGCTGCAGCTCGATATAATCAGTCGCGTGTGCGTGTAGGTGTGTGATTTACCTTTCTTCCTCGCTGATGTTTAGGGCTATTAGTATTCGTCAACCCTAAGTGGTATCCCCTTGTTGTCTTTGTAAAGACTGTAGTGCTTGATGCTTAGATGCTTGTTATCTCTCACACCCGGTTGGGGGGAACGAGCAGGGAGTGCCACGCACACGACAGCTGACAGCAGCTGGCGTGGGGGCTCCGCACAATCATTCTCTGGTCGTACTACCCGACGCATACCTATGTGCAGGGTCATCTCGTCTATAGATCGACTTAATACGCACTCACACGAACACCCTCCCGTTTCTGTGGGATGCGTGCTTCCGCCACCTCAAGCCAAGTTTTTCTGCAAAAACAACAAAATCAATAGAAACCGAAGGGGGAACCCGGCCACCAGGTCTAAACCCCTGCTTCCCAAGGACGGTACTCCGAAAAAGCAAGAAAAAGACGCAAACAGGATAACTCCGACAACGTAGTCGATCCGGGTAACCTTCCCGCCACGTTTCAGTATCACGTTCTTCCCAGTACCCAACAAGGTCAAAAAGGTCTGCAGCCACTGCCACGATATTACGCCCACAAAGCCCAAACAAAAATCCGTTGCAATTTACTCTTACTGCCCTCCCCGCCCGACGAACAACTCTCGATGATCTGAGCACCTAACTTCCTCCCTCCCCCTTGATTCCGGCGCTTCGCGGCGCCCCCGGGGTTTGTGGTGTATGCTATCATCCTGGGACAGCTGTTCTGTCAAACACATCAACCATGATAAGCCTTCTTGCATACAACTCTTACTCTGACTCTCAGAGATTCAAAAGTCAGCCTGCTTACACACAACTTTTCGACTCTCAGAAAAAAAAGTTCCAGTTCTCAACCGCCATACAGCACGCGCCGATATGGCTGCTCTCCCTCACTCGAAGAAAACTGCGGTCCATCATGTCGTGCGACAACCTCCTCGCTTTTCGCTGCGAGTGGTGCGCCACACACAACGCCTCCTTCATTCTACGCTCGCGGAAAACACGCCTGACAATCTACGGCTTCGAGAGCTTGTCCTTGCTGAGGCTTCCTTTCCTCCTACAAGACAAACACAGTGATTCTCATGGTGGGGCTTCTCCCCTTCTAAAAGACAAACACTGATATAGATTGTGGAGACGCCTTGCTACAGCGAATCCCTCAATAAGGTGGATACGTCTGGTACATGGGGTCACACCTACCTGCGGCAACAATGGAAATGTCACCTACAGCAGTACAACAGTGTCCTCCCCTCCCCATTTCCACCTCACGCACACAAGGTGATACATTTGGTACATGGGTCCACACCTATCTGCAGCAACAACGGAAATGTCATCTACAACAGTGTCCTCTCTGCCCATTTCCACCTCATGTTGACGCCAGCATAATTGTACCTGCGCCGATGTCTGCAACTTTCGATACACCGGGTCCTGGGTACCCCCTTTTTTTTCGGGCCGACACGCTGGATACTGTTTTACCCCTGTGCGTGAGTTTTCATCGGCCGCGGGGAGCGCCTGTGCTGCATCTCCACATGTGGTACGCCTGGTCCCGCGTACCCCTTCTCTTCAGCCGACACGCTAGATACTGTTTTACCTCTGCGCTTGAGTTTTCATTGGCTGCCGGGTGCGCCTGTGCTGCATCTCCACATGTGGTACGCCTGGTCCCGCGTACCCCTTCTCTTCAGCCGACACGCTAGATACTGTTTTACCTCTGCGCTTGAGTTTTCATTGGCTGCCGGGTGCGCCTGTGCTGCATCCCCTCATCTGATACACCTGGTTCTGTGTACCCCTTCTCTTCAGCCGACACGCTAGATACTGGTTTATCTCTGTTCGTGAGTTTTCAGCGGCTGCCGGGAGCACCTGTGCTGCATCCCCTCATCTGATACACCTGGTCCTGTGTACCCCTTCTGTTTTACCGACACGCTTTTTAGATACTGGTTTATCTCTGTTCGTGAGTTTTCAGCGGCTGCCGGGAGCACCTGTGCTGCATCCCCTCATCTGATACACCTGGTCCTGTGTACCCCTTCTGTTTTACCGACACGCTTTTTAGATACTGGTTTATCTCTGTTCGTGAGTTTTCAGCGGCTGCCGGGAGCACCTGTGCTGCATCCCCTCATCTGATACACCTGGTCCTGTGTACCCCTTCTGTTTTACCGACACGCTTTTTAGATACTGGTTTATCTCTGCGTGAATTTCATCGGTTGTGGGGAGCGCCTATGCTGCATCCCCTCCTTTGATACGCCTGGTCCCGCGTACCCCTTTTATTCTGCCCCAGACAAAGTTTTCATCGCCCGCGGACATCATGAAATGGAAGCGCCTGTACCGCGAATCCCCATCATAGAGTGGCTGGTGTTTGGAGCCGAATCACCATCGTCGTACGAAAGACCCGCGATAACACGCCTGAACTTTACCATCGAAGAAGACGAAGTACGATTGCTCAACGAAACACCCACACTTAAAGATTGGAAACGCCTGAACCGCGAATCCCCTTTCAAAGATCATCATTGGTCGTATCATCTTAAGCGAAGCTATCATCACTCGACGAACACCAAATCAGAAAATGGAAACGCCTTAACCGCGAATAATGCCCTGTAGAAACTTTCGATATCATTCGTCACAAGAAAAATCATTCAATGTTACTCACGAATCTCAACCAGAAAGAAGCGCCCCGCGGCAACACCGCGTTGTTGTTGGCCCTCGTTCAAAAGCACAGCAGATTTCGCGGTCTCGCCCTTGCTCCTCTGAGGCAATTCCACGTTCACCAGAATCGCCGTGACTGCAGTCCTCCAGTTCTCCAGCGCGTACTTTTCCCGCGACCAACAGGCTCGTGTGCTGTGCCGCCCGCTACTCCACCGCCGACGCAACCACCCCTCTGCTGCCTTGTCATTGGGCCGGTCCCAACAGTCGCTCATGTGTGTGGCCCCGAAGTATTATCCTCCAGGCTCCACCTCCTGACACTTCGTCCAGTGTACCCGGGGCAGTCAAGCTACCCCCAGCAGAGCTTCTGCTAGAGCTACCAACCGTACAGAAAAACTCGATGGTCTGGAACCCACCAAACCCCCCTTTTGCAGGGACGTCAAACGCCCACACAGGTTCACCTTCCGTGCCCGATCTACTGCTGCTCTCTCTTCCAGCGGCGTCATCTGTTCTGTTCTAACGCCAGCCGCAGCGTGCAGCTGTGATAGGCAGCTGCCTGGCGGCGAGATTCCGACAATCCCACCGCAGGATGNTTCGTCCAGTGTACCCGGGGCAGTCAAGCTACCCCCAGCAGAGCTTCTGCTAGAGCTACCAACCGTACAGAAAAAGTCGATGGTCTGGAACCCACCAAACCCACCTTTTGCAGGGACGTCAAACGCCCACACAGGTTCACCTTCCGTGCCCGATCTACTGCTGCTCTCTCTTCCAGCGGCGTCATCTGTTCTGTTCTAACGCCAGCCGCAGCGTGCAGCTGTGATAGGCAGCTGCCTGGCGGCGAGATTCCGACAATCCCACCGCAGGATGCGGTGCGTCTCCCAGCACCGCCTGACCCCCCTCGGCTTCCGCAATCTGACTTTGCCTGCAGCAGCGATGACATCTTGTCCATCATCCCCTGCATCCAAACTCCCTGCGCATTCCTCCCCATCGGGGGGCCGGCGGATGGGTGGCCCGGGGGACCTATTCCCCCGACTCCACCGGGTGGCACCCCGAACCGTGTGCGCGGCGCGGCTCCTCCGCGCCCTGCGGCGTCGCCGGCGCCGCTTGACTCCCCTTTTGTGCCCCCGTCGCCCTGACAGACGGCATCTGAAGTTGCTCTCGCTTCTCTATGACAGCCGACAGCACCTTGCTTTGCTCCAAAAGCCTCGTGAACAGCTCCGTCATGCGCGTGTCGATCGTGGTTCCGCCGCTATCAGTCGCTGGGGTATCGCCAGGCATAATCTCTGCAAAGGGGCTCCTTGGAAGAAACTCTGGAGTATTCGTCAACCCTACGTGGTATGTATTCGATATACTCGTAGCATAGTATGATGGTTGAGATGTTATGTACGTACGTACGAATATTGCAGTGATGAGATGCGGAGGAACAGGAACTTTCTACATATTTTCCTTGGTTGTGAGAGGCTTTTGGTGAGGATTCAGAGAGATTCGTTGTGTGAGAAAGCATGAAGGCGTGACTCGATACCGTGATGGTTTGACGAGCACGAGCACGCCCCCGATTA